ATTTTCTGCAGCTCTTCTGAAGAAGTATTTGTCCCTTGTGGAATTCTTAGATAATTTTTTCATATAAAAATATTTTTTGATCTTCGAAGAAAGATAAAATCAGATTACATATAAATAGATATTTTCAGATTATATTTTTGTTATCCAAATGTAGTTAGCCCTTAACCCAAATAAAATCCCAATAATTGTATCTTAAAAAACTGAGTCAGTCCACACTCAGATCCTATTACTCCAAAGCTGGTGCAATCAGGAGTTCACTTAAAGGTATAGTTGAATAATATAAGTGAATAATCAATATAAGTGGTCCTCCTAACTGTCAATCATTCTGGTGATGATATGCCAAGAATACCTCCCCTCTTGTATAATGATGAAAAAACAGTTTGAAATATGAACAAAAAAGGAACTCAACTAAAACATGTCTCTATACAAGTAGAAAATCATACTCTTTTGAATGTATTTGTCCACCAAAACTCTCAATTTTAGGGCATTGATCCATAAGAACTATGAAAATATTAAGAATATGTTTAAAAGTTCCCTATTCATTCATATTTCAATCTGTTTTCTTATCAGTATATGAGAGCTAGGAGGTAATAATTGGCAGGCAGGTACAGTATTCCACAGCATAACCTGACGGTGAGTCTGTCATAGAAAAATTGCAAATCTTCTTTTGGAAGGTAAGCTTGTATGAGCCATGCAAACAGCAACTTTTAAACAGAGTGTGCACTAGGGGAAATAGGCTTGTGAATGCTCTCTTATTGGTTAATAGGGGGGAAGTGACGGCCTAATGGTTAGGGCATAGGACTTGGAGTAGTGAGTTCGAAACCCACTCACACAGACTGCTACTCTGAGCAAGATCCTTAACTCCCGATTGCTCCCCAGGCGCTTCACAGTGGCAGCCCACTGTTTTTCCTAAAAGAACAACAATCCAACAAACAAACACAGTGATGGAAATTTGATTGTCTGCAGATGCTTTGATTCTCCAATATTTGGAGACGTCGCCGTAGAGCCATGAATTTTTCTCTCTTGCCAAAACTCCTAAAGGATAGTATATGGCCTAAGGTGGGCAGCCTTAAACTCATGCTCAAATGTTTTTCTTGCAGTGGAACAACCTCAATGAGGAATAACCAGGGAGTGCACAGGGAATATGAAACAAAATTAATTCCAGCATTAATAAAGGAGCAAACACTATTCTTCTTAGCACTGTATGTTTTTGTAATTCCTTTTAATTTACGGCCAACATCCCCCATTTCCAGCCCTAACTCCCTCACAGATTATGACCATATGGTCCCATTTTCTCCTTGTTTTTCCCCGTCTCCAAGCCTAATGAGCTGCATAAGCGTAGGGGTGCATGTACAAGTTTGACCTAGTGCTAAACTGCAGCTTGCCACCCTTTGAACCCTGTGGGTTTGGAGCACCGTTCTGTCTTTCACACCTTTGCACCCATGCAAGCCTTGATCTGGAGGCTGCTCCTCCTTAAATAAACCTTTATTCAAATGCACAAGTTGGTGTTAGTGAGTGAGCATGCAAGCCCATTTGTTCGAGAGACACTGTAAATGACCTGAAACAGTCTTGACAAGCAGGATACGTGAACAAATTAAGAAAGAAAACAAGTTTTCTTTTACATTCATATTAAAACATTGTGGAGCTGAATTGACATTTCCCGCATGATTAAAGGAGGACTTACAGCAAAATGTTTACACTCTCACTTCCCCAAAGTAGAATGTTAGGAAAATCCGGAAGAAAAACAGATTCCTTTCATTTGGAACCAGCTCCATTTTTTGTTAGTTAGCCAAAAACTACAGGTATTTTAAACATAATTTTTATATTTTTTTTATTTTTGATAATTGCTAAAGAGTAATTCTGAGTTAAATTGTGCTTGTGACTTTCTGCCACTATCTGCAGTTAATGGCTGTTTTTTTTTCTCTCTTCACAGAAGTTATAATTGGCCTCATGTTTAGTGGGCCTATTTACTGTTCTATACTGGAGTAATTGAGGTGTATCAAGAGAAAGGCATAAATGTATATTAAAACATAAGGTTAGACAAAAGACTGAAAGAAAATGACGAAATTTCCGCTTCTATCTCTTTGAACCCCAGTCGGACTCTGCAGATGCCTGTTCACACTGAGCTTCGTTCTGCTGAAGGTTTCTTCCTGTTAAAAGGGAGTTTTTCTTCTCCACTGTCGCAACAAGCATGCTTGGTGTGACGGATTGTGGAGAGTCATTCAGTCAATGTAATCAACTGTTTTCCCATAGATAGAAAACTTTGAATTAATTTGACTGTATGATCTGGTTGAATTGCAAAGTTCATTGAGATGACACGTGTTGTGAATTGGTGCTATATAAATAAGCTGAATTGAATTGAACAAGAATAAAAAAAAAATGCATCTTAAATAAGACAATACTGAGCAGTTGTTGAAAAAATGTATTACTCAGAATAAACAAAAAATGTTAATAAGCATTCGGTAGAGCTGTTCTGTGATTAGTCTTTGTCCTGTTTTCATAGTATGGATTTCACTAGAGCATATATACATAGCTGACAAAACCTGCTGACATCAGTTTTTTACGTTTTATTTAACTTTGTAAGCTTTTTGAGTGGGATCAACCTCGATGCATTTAACTGATTTTGAATCTTTCCGTATAACCGCATTGAATTGAATCTAACAGAACAAATAGTTAATAAGGCGACCAAACAATAAAAATCTGGCACTTTAAAATTTCTCAGTCTGAATTTGTTCATCCTTCCTTTGGTTTGTTCTGTTTTAATTGTTTTAACTACCATGGTACTGTTATGACTTCTGGGAGAAGTTTTTTTTCTATATTTGTAACAAACTTGGATAGGAAGAATGTGATAGTTTAAAAGAAATCACAGCAAAACCATCAGTCAGGATTAGCAGGCTTCATTTTGATTATTAAAATATCAAGTTAAAAGTATTTTATTTAGAAAGAGTAGCTACTCTCTAATTTAGTGTCAGTACATCACAGACAGACACATGATCACAGGTGTTAAAACCCCAAGATAAATTGGCGATTTTAGATCTGACCTCTAACCTTATTTTATTGCATTGACCATCTTAAATACTTATCTTTGGTTGAGAATCTGAACAGGAATGATAGTGTTTATATTCTTTGATATTTTTTATTCTTCCACATTACAGCCTCCACTAGCAGTATAATGTTGCACTTGTGAAGTGCGGAAAAAATATTGAACATCTACAGACCGAAATGTCAGAGTATATATGGACACAGGGAGGCATCTCTAAATATCAATTATGAAGCCATACCAAAGTTTCTAAATTATTTCTTGAATTTATTTTGACTGAGGCATTTTATAACACAGTCATGCTTCTTTATGAAAAAAAACAAAACAAAAAAACCCCTCCAAAGTACGGTGTTTTTTTTACGTGCTGGATGGCCAGCTTGAACCACAGTCAGAATCACCTCTAACAGGTTTGCATGGAGGATTGTCTGATATTTTGCTCTACCCATCCTATTATCAGCGACCAGCTTCCCTGTCACTGTTTAAGAAGGACTTCATCACACTTTGGAGAGTGTCTCCAGAAGCACTGTTATTTTTTTTTTTCTAACCAAAAAGCATTTTTCTTGTTGGTAAAAAATATTTTTCTTCTCACAATATCACCTTTTCCAGGATTTGCTGTGACCTCCAGATGAATTAGGTGTTTTCATGACTTTCTCTATAAGGTTGCATTCTTCCCACTTCTGCATAAGGATCAACTTAATGGAAAACCGAGCGCATAAGTGTCAAAATCATCGCACCTGATTTGGATATTTACAACTCTTCCAAAGTTTCCTTGATCCTTTTGTAATTTTCTCTAATACTTCCCCTGTTCATCCTATCATTTTAGGTGGACAACCATGTATTTTAGGGTTTACCTTTCTGTCATATTATTTGCATTATCATATGGTGGATTGAACATTGCTCCACAAAAATTTAACAGATCAGAAAACTTTTTATAACCTGATCTTAAACTTCCCCACTCTATTCCTGACCTGTTTGTTGCCGTTTTTGCTGTTTTATGATGCATATATGTGGATCCGTCTCCTGAAAACAAGCTGTTGCACTGGAATTTATTTTTAAAACATTAAACTGGTCGAGGAAAATAAAAAGATGACAATCTACCCTTTCTACTTTCATTAAGAAGTAAATGTTTAAAGTATCCTTCCGCATGACAGTAAAACTACCTTTTAGTGATCTATTGCATAGTTTCTCAATAAATGCATTTAGGTTTGTGGCTAAAAAGTGACACACTTAAAGAAACTACATTAAATAAAATGACCAAGAAAGTAAAAACAACAACACACAGGTATATGATCTACTGTATCTCTAGAAGATGATAAAGTGGTCATCTATGTCAGCCTTACTTTAACAATGCTGTGTAGCTACTGAAAACGGTCTGATTAAAGCACATTGGACCATAATTGCCCTGAAAGAACAACATGCAGATAGTTCCAGGCACTAAAGTGGGGGTGCAAACACCAGGCATGAAAGACTGTTGATCATTTCTGATCTCGAAGCGATCGCTTGTCTTTTTCAGCAGCAGTGTTTGTTGCCTCCAGGGATTATCAAACCCACTGGGTTCCAAACTGGGAGATCAACCAACCGCCTTGCGCTGCAGTCTGGATGACTTCCAACACCTCCTGGGCGCTTCTGACACAAATCAGCCATCTGACCAGCTGGAAGTCAGTCAAATTAGCAACAACAAGAACATTTGTATTTTAAAAAATCCACTTGGAAAGAACAATGAGTACCAACTTGTCATTGTGTTAAGTGTATAATTTTAGAGTCTTTAAGTATTTAGAGTGCGGGTCCTTTTACAGGCCATATTCTGGGTGGTGATGCCAAATAATAAATGAAAGAATTCGTTTTCCAGCTCACTATTATTATCATTTATCTTGTTTTTCCTCATTTCCATCTGGTCCCGATCATGGCCACGCAAAGCTGAGAATCTGGGACACAACATCAAGCCTCCCACATCATCTTCTTAATTAATTAATTTTTTTATTCGTTTATTTTATTGCGAGTAAACACATCACAAAACATTAACACATTACTTCACGAATATTTCGTTCCATAACGGGTTTCCATAAGTGCGCGTCAGTGTGTCGAGTGATCGTGTGTGCGTGCCTGTGTGCGTGTGTGTGTCTTTCAGGACATAAATTAGATTGATCATCCAATAAACATTCGGTATCCGATTACAAAAATCAACAAGATTTATGACAGCGGCCAATAACAATGTGCGGAAATACACGAAGTGCATCACAGGCGCTCCAAATAAGAAAAAAAAAAAAAAAAAAGTTAACATCAAGCGATCCAAAACTTCAACTTCCCCATTGATCGTATTTTGAGCTTGTTCTCTCCAATTTAAGGCATTCTACATATTTTTTTCAACTGCACTTAAATGTGTTTTATTCTTGTCAGCTGCAGGGAAATTTTACAACAATGCGAGATAAATAAACTGTGGAAATTCACATAAAAGTTCACATTATGATTTTTTTTACATCCTTTTTCTATTTGATATTATTCACAATTAAATACAACGAAATTGCAATAAATAATAAACAAATAAATAAATTGTACATAAATAATAACAGAATACACATTCATTTCGGTACATAAAAGAAAAATCCGACACATGAATTGAAATGTAACATTTAGCGCCTGTATTCTTCCAGGCCTTTGTCCTGTTATTTAATTATTTTAGGTCCTAAATTGTAAGACGCGTTTGTGAGAATACATATTAAATTTCAAACAAGCACGGATTGCATTTGGCAAGATTGCATAGCTCAATTTAACTTTTTATTGCCAACACACTTTCTCTGAAATCCAAGCAAGTCAAGTTTAAGTCAAGTTCCCTGATGAATTAAACTTTTTTAATCGTCCTAAAATATCAGATTGGGACGGGAATAATCAGCTGTTTCCAAAAAACTGTTTGATCACAGATCTCACAATAAGAAAAGATGTAAGTTCTGCCCTGCAGTTGCACAGAAAATTAAATAGATAAAAAAACAAAACAATAAAAAGTAAAATAAATGCTCAGAAATGCCTTCTCTTTGAAATGTACTTTTTTGGAAACAAATAGCACCAATTTGTTAATAAATCCATCTTAAATATCAGGATCTATAGTGTTTAAGATGATTATTTCTGTACATAAATTAAAATCATTTCCAAACTGTTGATTCTGTAATTAAAAACAAACTTTAAACCTCAAATTCAGCTTTTTTATGAGGTCAGTTTTTTACTTTTTTTTTTTACTTTTGTGCAGATAAATTTGCTTCTGATTTTAGCACTTTACTAATTAATTAATTGTGGTAAGAGCCATTAACTTCCCCCTGGGTTTGAAAGGACTGGCTGCGGACGTGCAGATCGTATGGAAAACGGGCCTCTGGTGAGACTCGATACATTGAGTTGGGTGCCAGGGCCGTGCGCCCTGGCGCGCCACAGTAGCGCACTCCGTAGTGGCCGCTTTTCCCGTAATCTGGTGGGTCGTCGTGCTTTAAAGAGAAAATCCCGTTGAAGTTCATCGGGGGGCTCAGTTGGCTGTCAAAATGCGGGCTTCCGCTGTCCGGGGATGGGTTCTCGAAGTAAGTCTCGTAGGCGCTGCTGTAGCTGTAGTGTCGAAACGGTTTGGAGCTGGGATCCAGACTTCCACCGCTGTGGCCCGGGGGTGAGTTCATGTCCGAACCAGTGTACGAGTACATAGCTTCATAAGGCGACCTCCCAGAAAACATCACCTCTCCGTTGTGATCCGTCAGGAAATTTCTCGCGTTCAATTGCAAACAGCCTGCAACCAAATTGGTTGTTGGCTGAGATAATCCTTTACACAAAGTCTGCACAAAAGCGAGGAGGTCCGGTCTCTTTCCTGCACTAAGGGTCTCTGACAGGGCCCAGATATAATTTTTGGCCAGTCTGAGCGTCTCTATCTTGGACAGCTTCTGAGTTTTCGAGTAGCATGGCACAACTTTGCGCAGACTTTCCAGCGCGGCGTTCAAGCCATGCATCCGGCTGCGCTCACGGGCGTTGGCTTCCTGGCGCCGAAGTTTGGCCCTGTCCACATGCTCCTTGCCGGGCCTCTTTTTCCGCGGTCCTCGTTTCTTCTGCAGCCCGTTCTCGTCCTGGTCGTCCCTTTCATCTTCCTCCCTGTCGGGGAGGTCGTCCTCGGCCTCCCTCATCATGTCCGAATTTGACCCGGCGGTGGGGCGCTGTTGTCGCTCCTGCTGCTGCTGCAGGCTCTCAGGGAGATTTTCGCGGGGATAGTTGGCACCAAAGCGCGGCTCACACATCATATGAGGTTCATCGAATGGCAGCGTCAACATATCTCCTACAGGATTAAAGTGGAGACATAAACTGTAAGAGGAAAATCAGCGCCGACGTCTTTTGAAGGTTGTCAGTTAATTACCCTGTGAATGAATCCTCCCAGGAGGCAGAACAACTTGGCAAGCGAGGCCAGTGTGATTGTCTGATAGCCTTTCAGAAACACTCAACTGCGTTATCATCTAAAACATTGTTTTTGACATTCCTTTGGGTCTTTTTAGACATTTTTAAAAAACAGCCTATTCTTTAAAGTAATTTGAACTCTCTCTCACTATATATATATATATATATATATATATATATATATATATATATATATATATATATATATATATATATATATATATATATATATATATATATATATATATATATATATATATATATATATATATATATATATATATATATATATATATATATATATATAGATAGATAGATAGATAGATAGATAGATAGATAGATGTTCACATTAATAAGAAGAATAATAGAATAATGAAAACGCTGAAACCCACCTCCAATCAGTAGGTACTTCTCAAAGCCCCAATCATTGCCTTATATTCGCTGCAGCTCTTTCCGTCTTTGCAAACGGCACAATTATAAAAGCCAGAGCTCAAACCCTCCTTTTTTCCCCTCCTCGCTGCGATCAGCTCTCCCCCTTCCTTCCCTCTCTCTTTGAGGAATGACACTCATGCCAACAGCGGGTACCCATGCCATCTGCCGCTGACGTCTTGTGGCAGCCGAGACCACGTGTTCATCGTCCCATGGGACCCTCCACTCTGCGCCCATCATCTGGCAGCTCCGGTAAAAAGGCACCGGGAGGCCCACGTTTACCGTCAAAAACACAGACCAGAGAGGGATAACAACTAATACCTGTGTCTCACCCGTTGTAAGAAAGAAGAACTGCTTCATGCACTAAAGTCTGCAAGTAGACAGATAAATATGAAATAGATATATTTAGTTTTAGAAGCCTTCTGCTGATTATGACTGAATACAAAATCATGTTCTTTGGACAGACAAGATAAAGGAAAAAGTTGATAAATGTATTTACCATATAAAATTTCACAAGTCACCCCAAATAAATTAATTTAGAAATTGCACAAAAAAAATCATGCAACATCTTCTTGCATTTACTAATCATATTTAGTTACTTTAACACGACAGTTTTACACAATTGTCCTACCCTGGTAACATGAAACAATTGTGTCAAAGTAACTAAATATGATTAAGTAAATGCCAAAAACGATTGCATTTTTTTTCAGTGTACATCCCAAGTAAAAGGAACACAAAGTTCTTTCTTAGAGTTAGCTAGAGACATTTCCATGGAAGAAATTTCTCTAGAGTGCTAGATAAAAGTGGGGCCCCGATAGGCGTCTGATATAATGATAAAACAACTATACAGCTTGGCATGCCCATTTGTTTAAAAAAAAAAAATTACATTGTTTCTATACTGTTAGGTTTGGTGAAGGATCTGTGCAATAAGAAGCTGTTTCTCTTAACTTAGTTTGAGGGAATGGCATCATAAACTCTGAAATAATCTACTGTATTAGGACATTGTGATTTATAATCTGTTTGAGACTAAAACGTACACCAGACATGATTTAGTGTTCTATTCTAGCAGTTACATCCAGAGGCGGAGCCGGAAAATTTTTGTAAGGGTGGCCAGACAATAACTGATGTACACTGAGGGGTGGCCGAAAGCGGATAGGCACCAGAACCTCAGGGTCAATCCACTCTGTTTCAACAGGAAAATTAACAAGTAAAACATCCATATTTTCTAAATAAAGACAAACTTTACTTTCCAGCCTTTGCTAACAAATAGACGCATATATTTAAACATCCATTATTTCTAGATAAAAGGTATAGTGGGTAAAACTCTGTCAGTTTTGATTTCTGATTTCTGTACGTATCATATTTGATGTTAGTATATTGATGTGTAAAATTAACCACAGAAATTAAAATTTTTTAAATATTCCACTTGAGAGTATTACTGCTGCCACCATCTGTATTAGAGGGAAAAAATGGTAGGGGTGGCCACAAGGGTGGCCAATGATTGGCTAAGGGTGGCTATGGCCACCCCTGGCCCCCCATCTTGCTCCACCCCTGCTTACATATCATTGTAATGGCCAGACATTCCGTGGTTGTCTGCAACTGTGGCTGTGTCTGACCAGTTCTCTGTTCTATTCTGAATGGACGGATGCAGCAATTTGAGCTGAATGTCCTTAGTCAGGCAAGACACGTATAACACAAGTATAACCTGTCGGCTCTGCGGAAAACATTAAGTATTTTCTGAATGGCGAGGTAAACCAACCAGGATTATCCTCATATAGGTTTATAGGGAAGCACACAATACAACATTTTGTGTATATAACAAACAGGTAAGACTTGGGCACACATAAACAATATAACATTTGAAAATACAATGCACTTACCTAAATTAGGATTCCTGTACTCCTGGAGGAAGAAGATAAAGAGAAATCTTCTTTGAGCTTGTTAGTGAAGCATTAATGCAACCAGTCTGTCTCTGTGTCTGTCTGTGTGTGTGTGTGTGTGTGTGGATTTCTGTCTGTCTGTCTGTCTACACCTTGATTCTGTCTACAACTGATTCAACCTTCACAAATACCTCTCACAAAAAGGTAGTTTGGCCTAATATTTTCCACTAACTAACAGGTGAGATAAAGAAACACTATGTATTTATCACTTTAATGTTCACTAGCCATAATGTTATGTCATTTTAATGTATCTTCAACAAGAGGAAGTTGTATTGTTTATTTTTCTATTTCTTTTCCCACAAAAGGAATGTTTGTTCTCGGTGGTGTGGTCCGCACACAACCAACATAAGGGTAGAATCTTAACAGACCCGTATATATCAATCTTCCAATAACTTGTGCAAATCACAGGGTACAAAGATGTGACACAAAAATATTCTGTGGAAAGCAGATGTTTTTTATTATTTTTTTTTTATTCCCTCCACTTTCAGCTCTATGCTTAAATGATAAAGAAACTCTACAGTAGACCTTAAAGCACAGAGTATTGGTAACATAACAGAAGAGTTGACATAGTGTTGATTCCATACCATCATAGCCATTAAGCATACCCAGTGGAAAAAGGCACTATGGCATGCTGCCAAATATACGCTGGGGCACAGCTGGCACTTGATATGGGTATATGCACTCCTCAGTTATGTGGAACACTCACACACAATTGCATGCTGAAATGTGTGCCTGTGAACGACCTTGCAGCAAGGAGAATCAATTAAACCAACTTATCAGTCTTTCTTGTATCGGTTATTGCACTGCATCGATTGGAGGTATGAGTCAGGCTGCAGAGAGGTGACAAGTTTTAGTTCAGGGCACTTTCAACTCTGACAATAAGAGCATGCAGACAATGGGTTAAATGTTGCAATGTTTTCTTGAATGTGTTCTTGTTTACAAATATAAATACAGAAGAATTGTGTGATAGTCCCTAAAACTACTAACCCAACAAAAATGCCAAAAAGTGTCCTTTTCATTCTTGCCTCTGCCCTCAAAATGTTTCAGCTGAATTGCTGATTGTTCTGGTCCACTACTCATACCCCACCATATACACACACCCACAGATACATGCTATAGAGTCAAACTCCCCATCTCAGACTAATCAGTTGACTGCACTAATTGCAAATGCAAATATGCAAATTTATATTAATTAATTACTCCACTAATTAGTTCTCTTGTCTTCTCAGGTAATAAATCATGGTGTGGTTGAGAGAGGAAGAGAGAAAGAGACAGGACTGTGATCTTTTGTCTGCTAAAATCCTTGTCTCATCTCAGAATCTGATCCTGTGATGCTTTACGGACAGATTTTATCAAACTGTCATCCACAGAGACTTCTTCACTTAACTTTCTTTTTTTTTTATCACACCTCAAGCTTGCTTAATGATTGCATTTGATATTTCACATGTACTTTATAATTCAAGGGTGGAAGCATTGTAATTTGAGAGGTATAACAAATAGCAGAGGTTGGTAAATCAGAGAGTCTGGCTGACAGTTCTTGCCTGTCAGCTCTTTTAATTATCACATTATCAGCTTTTATAGGCACAGTGTGCGGTGCAGAGCTGCAAATGAAGGCGCCACACATTGCAAGCTGAGTCGAAAGCATTTCTCAATTGATGTCAGCAGTTAGAAGGGATCTGTGTCTGGATGATGAGCGAGAGGTGATGTGGTTAAAAGGATGGTTATGGTGTGGTTATACAACAGGATTCTGTCCAACGTTTAATTTAGAGTCACAGCTCGTGGGTTAGTTATCTTTCAGTACCAATATACAAAGCAACTCCAGCTAACACCGACTCTATAATGAGCCATGTAATGTTAATTTTCAGTCTTTCAATGACAACTCTTGCTATTTATATTACATCCCCATGAACTGAGCTTCATGTACAATTAACTAAATGCCAAACACAAAGGCTAAATGAGGAAGTGCCTACGCTGTGCCACATACAAGTGCAAGTCATTTATTATGAGTACTTGTGGATACCCAGATGAATACTTGACTTGCTGATAATAATCTTGTCATCCCATAAAGCTGTTTAAAAAAAGACTTGTTTTTCAAAGAGTAACCAAAAAAACAGCATTAAAAACAGAATCAAGCATAAGTACTTTTTTAGGTGGTAATGTTTATAAGTTCACAATAAACGTCAGTCATCACTGCTAGAAACCACCATCCATCCATCCATCCATCCATCCATCCATCCATCCATCCATCCATCCATCCATCCATCCATCCATCCATCCATCCATCCATCACAATTATCCCTGTTGAGGTTATGGGTGTGCTGGTGCCTATTTCCAGCTGTCATGGGCGGGGTACCCTGGACAGGTCGTCAGTCTACGGTCGAAAATACTGGAGCCATGATGGACTCAAACCTGAACATAAAGAAAGTAACAAAGTCAGCTTTCTATCACATAAAAAACATCTCCAGGGTTCAAAAAGCTTACTGTCTCAGTAGAGTCTTGAAAAATTCATTAATGCATTAATCTTTAGTAGAATTGATTACTACAATTATGTCTTTACGGGTCTGACATAAAATTGAAGCACAAAGCTGCAATGAATCCAAAATACTGCTGCCTGCGTACTCACTGGAAGTAAAAAAAAATGGAGCACATCAACCCAGTGCTAAAGTCATTACACTGGCTCCCCGTCTCTCAGAGAATGGACTATAAAATACTTCTCCTTGTCTAAAACACATATAGATTTGCACTTAAATACGTTATAGAGTTGTATCAATGGCCCAGACCTCTCAGATCTTCTGGCTCTAATCTACATTGCATACACAAAAACAGAACCAATTATGGAAAAGCAGCTTTGAGCTCATATGCTCAACTTACTGTATCTGGAACAAAGAAGGAAATCTGTAAAAGTCCAAAAACCCAAATTGCTTTTAAAGTGTAGTCACATAATATATAATTTTTTAAAACATATATGAGAATAATTCAATCTGATTGTATACAAAGGTTTTTCTTAAACAGTGCAAGTGTTGTTAGCATATGTTTATGTATATGTTTCCTAGATATAGATATGAGCTCATCTATTACATTGACTAACTATGTGTTCTATTTCATCCCTTTGATGGGAAAACTGTCTTAGAGCTTCTATGCTTAACTGTTTCTTTTCCAGACAGAGCCACCTGTGGAGCTAGTTAACCAGTACCTCTT